GGCAAGCAGCTTGGAAGTAAATTTGGCGGTCCATTGATGAGGAGCTTGCTTAAGACCATAAAGAGATCTTTTAAGGCGACAAACCTGACCAAGAAGAGCTTTACTATAGCCGGGAGGAGGAAGCATATATACCTCTTCATCAAGAAAACCATGGAGGAAAGCGTGATTGACATCAAGTTGATGCAAAGGCCAAGAAAAACTAGCTGCAACAGCAAAGAGAATCTGGACAGGTGACGGATTTGGCTACAGGGGAGAAAATCTCAGAATAATCTTCCCCTTCTACTTGAGTATAACCCTTAGCAACCAGCCGAGCTTTAAAGCGATCAATGCTACCGTCAAATTTACATTTCACCCGATATACCCATTTACAACCGATAGGTTTCTTCCCTAAAGGCAGAGAAGTAAGTTCCCACGTATCATTGTGCTCTAAAGCAGCTAACTCTTGATTCATGGCTTCTATCCAATTTACATTAGTTCTAGCTTGATTGTAAGTATGAGGTTCTTGGAAGGTAGACAAGTTTGCAACAAAAATTTCATGAGTTTTAGAGAAAAGACAACAATCATGTGAAATGTAATTGGAAAGAGGAGATGTAGTACAAGAATTGACTAAAACAAAATCATCAAGATGACTAGGAAGTTTAGTAGGTCTCATACTTCATAGAAGAACAGGGGCATGAGGGAGATTTTGAGTAGTAGAAACAGGAGGGATAATATCATTGGTGGAAGAAGGACGATGATCAAGAGAAGAAGAAGAACCATGACCAGATGAGGGGAAAAGGAAGGTATCATTAGGAAGAGGATCACGAAGAGGTTTAGGTTACATGTAATCAGGTTGGGACGTGTCAAAGAAAGGAAAGATGTGTTCATGAAAGATCACATCTCGGGATACAATAGTTTTCTTTAAGGAAGGGCAGTAAATTTTATAGCCTTTTTGCCCGGAAGGATATCCAACAAAAATACCTTTGAGACTACGAGGGTCAAACTTGTCCCTGGTAGGGGTGTTATCGACAACAAAGGCAAGACAACCAAGAGTACGAAGAACAGTAAGATCAGGTTTGATGTTATAGAGAATCTTAAAAGGAGATTTCCATTGCAAGACAACAGAAGGTAAGCGATTAATGAGGTGAGTGGCTGTGAGAATAGCATCGCCCCAAAAGGTTTCCGGTAAGTGAGATTGAATTAATAGAGATCTAGCTACTTGGAGTAAATGTTGATGTTTGCGTTCGACAACTCCATTTTGTTGTGGAGTGTAAGGACAACTTCTATGGTGGATAATACCATGGGTAGAAAAAAGGTTGTGATAATATTCATTGCGAAATTCAGTGCCGTTGTCACTTCTAATAACCTTAACAGCACGATGAAATTGGGTTTGGATAAAGGTAAGAAAATGACTGAGAATATGTCCGACTTGACTTTTATGCTTCATTTAAAAAGTCCAAGTACACCGGCTGTAATCATCGACAATAGTCAAGAAAAAATGAAAATCACTACGAGCAGCATGCTTGTAAGGTCCCCATACATCAACGTGAAGGAGTTGAAAAATTGTAGTACTTTGAATAGAGCTAGTAGAAAAAGGATTACGATGTTGTTTAGCAAAAGGACAAACGTCACAAACATCTTTGGATGTACTGTTTACAAAAGAAAGGATAGAATCTGAAAGACGACAAAATACAATAGAAGAGGGATGACCTAATCTATTGTGCCAAGTGGTTACATCAATGGCTACGCAAGCCTTATTCACAGAAAATTGCTTAGCTCGCAGTACATAAGAAGCATAAAAGTCTTGGCTTTAGAGAATGGCTTGAGAAATGAAAGAGGTTGAATTGATGATATAGAGACCTCGAACCACTTTACCAGCTGCAATAACATGACCTGTTATAAGGTCCTTCAGCAAGCAAAATGTATCGAAGAATTGAAAAATTAAGAAAGATTGAGCAAGTTTTTTGACAGAAAGCCGGTTGTGTTTGAAGGAAGGGATATACAAACAACCAGTAAGAGTCAATGTGGGTGACAATACTACATCGCCTATTTTGTGAACTTCCCTAATACTACCGTCAGGTAAGAATACAGGAGTATAGACAGTTACATTCCGTAGATTTATCATATTTTCTAAACTACAACTCATGTGACACGTTGCACCCATGTCATCAATCCAATCATGCACACTTATACAATCAGTATAATCAGAATTAAGTAAAGAGATAGTAGCGTTACCTGCAAACTCGCCAAACTGAGGAAGATTTGCAAAATGTACGGAGGAAGAGTGTGGGGCTGAACCACCAGGAATGAGGGAAAGATCATCCAGAGATCCCTTGCCTTTGATAAGTCTGGTTACCTCCTGCTGTACAGCACTATTGATAAGATCCTACGGGCGAGTGGACTCATCAGGTTTGGTGTCAAAAGGGGTGTCTGCAAGAAAAACCTGTTTCTTAACGATGGAAGGCTGAGAAGAAGAAGCAGGCCACCAATCGGGATACCCAATCAAGTCGAAACAATATTCTTTACTGTGCCTAGTCTTGTGACAGTTATTGCAAAACAGAGTACTCTTGTCGGCTCTGGGAAAAGAAGGGCGACCACCAGGGCGAGGTAAAAGGGGTTTAGAAACTGGAGGCCTTGGTCCGTCTTTCCTGACAAGTGGAGATGACTGTGGCTTGACCAACATAGCAGAATTATCACCAGAAACAGAACTTAACATACCAATGCTGACTTGCTTGTGCTTCTCAGACTTAAGCAATTTAGAATACACCATCCTAAGATTAGGAGGAGGATCCAGCAACAGAATGGCACTTCTCTCCGGTTCATACACATCATTAAGCCCCATAAGAAACTGCATGACCTTATCCTCCATTTCGCGTTCCTGAATTTGCTCATGAAGTAAACCAGTGGCGGCTAAAGATGGCCGAAGTTGAGCATATTGATCCCATAAGTGCCTAAGTTTACTATAATACTGTGGGATGGTCAAATCACCTTGCCTCATCAATGAAATATTACGTTTTAATTCAAAAACCATCGGAGCATTACAAGTACCAAATGTCTGAGCTAACTCATTCCATAATTCTTTCGCATCGTTTACAAATTGAAAATCAACAGCAATTTCGGGGGCCAGAGCATTCTTAATCCAAGACAGTACCATACTATGGACGCGACGCCATTTTTTAAACATAGGAGAATTAACAGCAGGCATAACACAACTATTGTCAACAAAACCATACTTAGTTTTGGACTCCAAGGCAGTAACCACAGCGTTACGCCAGATTAAGTAGTTCTTACCGGTCAAAGGAGTGTTCACAAGCACCATACCAGGAGTTTCCGAGCCATGAAGCTGCAATTCATCATCCAGATCAAAGAACTGCATACGCACCCTGGGAATTTACTGAAAATCATCATCATCAGAGTCGAGAGATCTCGCCATGTTAGAAGAAATTGAACCGTAGAAAGACTGAGGAGATAGTGCGCAACAAAACCTAAAGATTGGAGAGAGGCGGAAGTGTTTAACAAAAGAGAATCGAACCCACTGATACCATCTTACAGAAGCTAGGGTTCATCAGATCTGGGGGGAAAATTAGAACTGAATTCCCGTATTCATTCATTTAGAAAAGTCACTGTACAAGCGTTTATATAGTAAGCTGACTAGTCAACAGCTATTCCAACTATCTAGTATTTACAAAAGAGACCCTGCAATGCTATTATATACAATATCAGCTATACTAAATTTGTACAATATCTACATAAGAACTTGGTCTATTCGAAAATCCAGAACATAAGATGCTTGATTAGCTTCATGAGATGATTCGTGCTGATTACTCAACAGAACCACCCATCCAACTTTCAGACTTGGTTGTTACAACCTTTGGTACGCTCGAAACCAACTCCAGTTTGAAGATTGCTACACCCCAGTGGTTGGCGAAATGAAAGATTCCATGCAATCGTAAACTCTAGTCTAGGAAACCGGCCAGCAAATTCGCTAGAAGGCTTGAATGACGACTCAATCTGGTTTGATGGAGCAATCAACAAAGATTTGAATTGTTCAGCAATCGGCGTATTAATATGGAACTCTACTTCTGGTTTCATTGGCTGCATGGCTAAGAGTTACGTGGGAATTTTCTCTTCCACTGTGACAGAAAGTATGGCAGCTAGGGATGCAATTTCATTGGCTCTCACAAAGGGTATCACGCGTTTCATGTTGGTGGGTGATTCTTCGTCAGTCATTTCCCACCTACAATCAGACGAGAGTGATCTATGGGATGCAAACCTCATAATTTCGGATGTTAAAGCCCGTTTTGAAGAAATGGTGGACTTTGATTGTCGTTGGGTGAATCGTAGATTTAATGCTTTCGCTCATTCTCTAGCTCAATTCGCTAAATGTAAGCGAGACACTGATAAATATTAGGATTCTATATCCTAATTTGTACCTTAAACTGGACGTTCTTCCAGTGATTGAATAAAATTCTTCATTTTCCTTTCAAAAAAAAACAAACAAACAAAAAAAAAACTACGGTTTGATCCTCAAAAGTGGAGCTTCAAACCAAAAGAAATTTTTCAAGTCTTGTACTGTTAATAATGCTAAATAATTTATCACAAAATTCGCTTCTCGAAAATCATGTTTATGTTCAATTTCCCAATCACGCACAACATCAACATCAACTTACGAATTGCGCGAATAATGATATCATTAACCCAAAAAGAGTCCTCTTGTCCCATCACCTTAGCAATCATACTTTAATTATGAACTCCGCTATAATTTTTTTGTCCCATTTCTCCCACACCAAGGTTAAAGCAGGTGCGATTTTAACTTACTATTTGTAATAATTTAAACTTTCATTATAGTGTACAATCATTTTTCGTTAATTTGTCAAGTGCTCAAAATATGAAGTCTTTCGCTTTTACATGTTTTTTATCTTTTAATTAAAATCATATTATTGGAATTAAACGAAAAGAATATACATTCTAAAAATTAGAATCTTTCTCAAGCAAGCAACAAATAAAGGTTAATATTATCTCTGTCCCAAAAAATAATTCTTATTGAGTTATTAAATTTGTTTTAAAATTAAAAACAAAAGTGAAAATTCAATGTGACTATTTTTATGAGAAAACTTTTTTATTTTATTTTGAAAATTCAGTTTATACATTCAAGACTATATATACACCATTCAGAATGAGGCAAGTGACATAGCAGACACACAAACACTCGCAACAACTCTTCTCCTCAAGCTCTCCAATCATAGATTCATATACATTGTCGTCATCAATTTTAGAAAACAGTACGTATAGCAGACTTCATCAATATATGCAGAGAAAGTCTATAGCTACCCGACTACCCGTAAGGCTCCCCTCTTCTTTTTTTTTTTTTGCTTTTTTTTTAAAAAATAAAAAATAAAAATTTTGGGTACAGACTACAGAGAATGCCAAACTCTCCTATGGAATCATGATGAGCAATTAATTAACTTTCAGGAGTTGACGGGCGAAAAACCTAAGCTGTCATTAATCATTTCCTGCAACAACAAATGATAGAGTTATCTTATACTGTTTATCAATCTCATATTTATAAAAAAAAAAAAAAAAGGAATAACAACGTTTTGTAATGTTATAACAATGAAGAAATGGTAAAAAGAAAAAAGTGGGGATTTTCAGACAAGGTAGTTAGAACTTAGAAGGTGAAGTTAAAAACCCTCTAAATTAATGTTGTTGGATCCACAAAAATTGTATTAATTTATAGAGTTTATTACTTTATTAATAAATTGATAAATATTATATTATTGATGAATTAATAATTTATTAAGTTAAATATTTTTACCAATTTTAAGAAACAAATACCAAAATTTGTCATATTTTGAGATAACTCTAGACCTTTTGAATGCAATGAGAAAAATCAAACATGAATATTTTCATACATAAATTTCAAAGAAAACAAAGCTCAATTGCTCCCAGCTTTTCTAAATCTTCTTAATTTCTTGTTAATATTCCATATCATCATTAATTTATGATTTTGAGGGGACCTATATTTATATAAGAATTTTTAAAAAAAATATTATCTTATTAATTAATTTATTTTTTCCTAGTCCCGAGTTGGGACCGAAAAAATTATTATATAATAGAGTTTATTAATATATAGTAGTTATTTAGGGAACTTTTACTGTAAGATCCTCATAGTTAAATAGAACGACCAAATTTATGTTATGATGAATATATATATATATACACACACACACACACACACACATTATATATATATTACTCTTTAATTGCGTGCTTTTTATGAAATTCAAATAACGCTTCTGTTCTGAAATAATTGTTCAACATAAATTTTCATTTTTAGTAAATGTACTAAAAATGAAAATCCAAACTATACAATTACTTTCAAGACGGACTATTTTTTTCGAACCAAAAGAGAATCATTTCATGGAAAAGATAATATACCAAACCTCAAGATAGTACTATATATTGTTTGGAGAATTATGCTTCTATCCCAAGGTTTGGGTCGCATCAACCAGTCCATGCCAAGGTTTCAGAGTCTTGTTGTTTCATCCCCTAAGTTTGAAAAAAGATACACTACTTTAGTTCCAAACCTTACTTTTGTGGGCGGGAGGGGGAATCTTCTATTTTAATTATTTTACAAATATAGCACATGATATTTGTACATATCATGCCACTATAAAGATTTGACGAAAAAATTGACAAACAAAATATTTCATCATTTTACAATCCAACAATTAAATGATTAAAATAATGTTATTTTTGAAAACCTTGGGATGAAATGGAGATTAAGATTCTTAAATTTTAGGATGAATTAGTTGGTATCTCACATACACTGGGATGAGAAAAGCCAATTTCACTTTCTTTTTTGGTTTTTATAAAACCTTGTGGAGATCAAGTAATTGCGAGGTTTTTTCTTTTTTATTTTTAAAAAAGGATAAAGGTTAGAAAATAAGAAAAACCAAAATAAAAAATTAGGAGTGTTATACCGGCTTTCATACTCCTCCAATGTCTTCTTTGAAGTAGATCCTTCCTTCCGACCGGACCTGGACGAGGGTAATCGCTCGTTATTGTATGGCAAAGGGTTACCAAAGAGAAACTTGAAATAAAATAAAAAGTGAGTGTGTCTTACTTGCTTTTTTTGTACTCCTCCCATATTTTCTTTGCAGCAGGATCCTCCTTCTGACGGGATTTTTTAAGTCTTTTTTTAATCTTAAACCACTCATAAACATCTACAACGAGATGTGCACCGGGAATACAGGACAATAAGCCATTCATAAAACTATTGAACCTTCCCATAGTCATAGATAATCCTTCAGAAGAAATGACTGCAGCAACTCCAATCACTGCAGGTAAGGCTGCACCCCCAGAAGCCACTGTAACACCGGCAGCAAAACCAGCAGCAGGAAGGGTGAACATTAAAGAGAACACTAGTCTTTCGATACTATTTACTATTGATTTGCTATTTTCCTGCAGGTTAAACAAGAAACAATTCACAAATATGATTTACGAAGAAAACACACACACACACACACACACACACTTCTTTTACTGCAATTCATGAATACTAGTTTCTCTGTCAAAAAATAAAAATAAAAATAAGTGCACATTGAATTTTAAAATTTGTACTAAAACATGTACAAATTTCAAAACACAATGTACAATATATTTCTGATACGAATGAAGTATATATTTTTCGGGCATATGTCACACGGAATATTTTAGATTTTTCATACCCAAAGGTTAGGTTCATAACTAACCTCCTTTTGTTTTAGCAAATGATGAATATCGTCAGCCTGTTTCTTATAACCTGCTATTTCTGTCCGCAGTAGCTCCAGTTGTTCAGAAGGGTGATTCCAATTGGCATGTTCAATGCGGACATCTGCAAAAAAACACGATAAAAAATTGTGTTCTGTGCTAAACATAATTAAGCTAGCATTCTACACGCCTATCCCTTCATTTACACAATTCCTGTGTAAACTTATACTTTGTCAAACGCAGTTTTTATCATTGGACTTATGAAACTCTTTGTATAAAATTGTAGAAATACAATATTACATATGCGAATGACTATTAAACAGACAATTCAATCAAATTAATCTATCTTGCTTATATTTGACTGGATTGTGGCGTCTCCTACTATTGAAATATCTTAATTTGATTTCTGTCAGATTTTAGCCTCTTAGATGTACATATCGCTTACGGTAATTGCTCAAATTTTGAAACCTGGTGATCCAATTTTCAAATTTGGACAATGGAGAGAGAACATACCCTGGAGAAGATTCTCATATTCAGCGATGTGCATGTCCGGATCCAGAGTCTCAAATTTGGCCGTCAGCTTTTCGATGATTTCTTTCACAAAAAATGCTGCAGTTGCAGCCCTTTGCTTTTTCACCAGCGTAAGATAGGTAGGCTCAACATCCTAATAAGAAGAATATTTTAGTATAAGGACAATAACAATTTACCCAAAAAATAGTTCACATTGAGTTTTGACATTTGTACTAATATAATATCTATTTCAATGTAGACTAATTTTTAAATAGGGAATACTATCTTCTAAAAAGTGCAAAAATTATACCATGCACATTAAGTGCATGTAGTTAGGTACACATAAACCCTTATTTGATAATTAGTATAGGAAAGGAGGGCTAAACATACAAGTCTTTATAAGTTAGGTGAAACACACGCACCACTCTTCCTTATTTTTAGGAAATGGGTTTCAAAATTTCTTTTTAATCTTCAAATGATTTTTTTTCTCAATCCGTAAAGAATTACATCAAATGTCTTATATCATTTTGATAATATTCGATGAGATCTATCCAACAAGATCTATCATGAATATATTTTCTGAAACGTAAAAAAAATTATGCAGTAACCTTGATTTTATTAAAATACATTTTGGTCTTACTCGTTTCTTTTATGCCCACGACCTATGGAGAAGACCAAAAATCAAAGGCCAAAGACCAAAAATTGAATACCAAAGAGCAAAGAGCAAAGACCACAGTAAAGAGCGAGCGTGTGTGAGTAACAAAGGCAAAAGACCAAAGACCAAAGATCAAGAAATCAAAGACCAAAGAGCAAAAATCGAAGACCAAAGATGAGAGTAAAAGAGCGAGCATTATGTGAGAAGCATAGGCCAAACACCAAACACCAAACACCAAACATCAAAGACCAAAGATCGAAGGCCAACCACCAAAGACCAAAGATCGAAGGCAAACGACTAAAGACCAAAGACCAAAGACCGAAAGCCAAAAACCAGAGACCAAAAAAAATTTACAAAAACTAAAGACCAAAATTAAAAGCGAGTGTGTGTGAGAAGTAAAGACCAAAGGCCAAAGATAAAAAGTGTGTTAAGGATTTAAGGGGGTTTAAGCATTTTCTTGTCGGTTACGGTCTAGTTATTTACGATTTAGGGTTTGGAGAGGTTTAGCATTTCCTTATCGGTTAGGGCCTACTTTGTGCCGTAACAAGATTAACCTATAAATTTTCTTAAACCAAAAATAAATAAATTAGTGTGTTTAGGATTTAGGGGGGTTTAACCCTTTTCGTGTCAGTTAGGGTCTAGTTGTTTAGGTTTTAGGGTTTAGGGGATTTCGGCATTTCCGTGTCAGTTAGGACCTAGTTCGTGCCGTAACACGATTAACCTTATAAATTTTATTAAACCAATTAGGTTAGGGTCTCGTTTACGGGACCCTAGCCTAATTGGTTTAAAAAATTTAAATAAAAAAAAAATTTAATGTGTTTAGGGTTTGGGGGGGAGGGGGTTTAACAATTTTTGTATTGGTTAGGGTCTAGTTGTTTAGGATTTAGGGTTCAGGGGGGTTTAAGCATTTTCGTGTCGGTTAGGGTATTGTTATTTACTGTTTAGGGTTTAGGGGGTTTAAGCATTTCCGTATCGGTTAGGGTCTAATTTGTATCGTAACACAATTAACCTTATGAAATTTTCTTAAACCAATTTGACTAGGGTCACGTGACCCTAGCCTAATTGGTTTTAAAAAATTTAAACCAAAAAAATAAAAAAAATATTAGTGGGTTTAAGTATTTCCGTGTCGCTTAGGGTTTAGTTGTTTAGGGTTTAGGGTTTAGGGCGGTTTAAGTATTTCCGTACTGGTTAGGGCCTAGTTTGGTCTTTTGGCCATTGGTCTTTGGTCTTTGGTCCTCATATACACTCGCTATTCATTCTAATTTTTGGTCTTTGATCTTTCGGTTTTTAGTCTTTGGACTTTTGTCTTTGGTGTTTGTTTTTTACATACGCTCGCTCTTTACTCTGATATTTGGTCTTTGATTTTTTGGTCTTCGATGTTTGGTTTTTGGTCTTTGATCCTCTCACACGTTCGCTCTTCACTTTGATATTTGGTCTTTGGTTTTTTGTCTTTGCTCTTTGGTTTTCACTTTTTGGTCTTTGGCCTTTGGTATTTGCTATTTGCTCTAGGTCTTGGTCCTAAAAGAGACAAGTAAGACCATAACGTCTTTTAGAAAGACCAAGGCAACTGCATAAAGTTTTTAAAGTTTCGAAAAACATATTCATGATGGATCTTGTTGGATAAATCTCATCGAGTACTATCAAAATGATATAAGACACTTAGTCTAGTTCATTACGGATTAAGAAATAAAATCATTTGAAAATAAAAAAAAATTTGAAAACCCACTTCCTAAAATTAAGGAGAAGTGACACGTACATTGAAAAGGAAGAAAAAAATATATAAAATAATTATACATAAAGTTCCTCCATTATTAAATAATAATAAAAAAAGAGTCTAAGGTCACCTAGGTAGATGCACTTAATGTGCATAATATAACAACTCTAAAAAGTGACTGACTAAATCTGTTATTAAGGAAGGATAATTAAGTCAATTTATCTTTTTCCAATATTAAATTTTTAAAACTAGAGTTTTCCTTAAAGCAAAATTATTTACAAAAAACAATGAATTATTCTCTAGGATGGAGAGAGTACTATTTTATATCAACAAAATATATTATCAAGGTGGGAATGGAGTGTTACATTAATATGTGGTTTCGACTTCAAAAATTGGGGAGATACAGAACATTAACAAGAAAAATGAAAAAAGAAAGTTGAGAAAAAAGAAATTAAAGAATTACTTGTATCTCTCTTTTGTTAATTGACGTTTTTTAGTAAATTAATGAATTTGTTATTTATTTCCAAAAAAAAAAGAAAAAAATTGAAATTGTTCAATAAATTGGCATAAAAATCCTTATGAATACCCTTAATATGTGTCGAATCAATTGCTGTCTACGTTCATCCCGTGTTTCTTCATGAAGATATAGAGTCCCGTCATCGTACCTTCAAAATAAGGATTACAATCGTTAGTAGCAGATAATTGACGCTTGTCTCGTCACCGCTATACACGTCATGCTTACCGGGTGAGGTAGATGCCAATAATTGAACTGACTTGATTGCCAAAATTTTTCGTTTTTATGAACATATCATCCTTTACCCCTTCCATTATGTCAATCCAGTCCTGCATTTAAATATGATATTTTAAACAAACGGATGCACAAAATTCTGAAATGATAATAATGTCCCATGGTATAAGTGCGGGAGCGGTGCCCTAATTAATTACTTCCTCCATTGCAAATTAAATAGTTCAGTACAATAAAATGAACAATTTTTTTTTTCCATAAGAAGTACTATATGTGATATTTATTAATCAGCATAACTTGGTAGTGAATTGCTAATTTATTATTTATGTACCAAACTGGGTTAGCTGAATGGCCAATCTATTTAATTACCATGTTGACTTTTGAATTGTTCAGCTGCTAGACCTTATGCTCTCATTGCAATATAGTACTCTCTCTGTCTCAAAATTATTATTCAGTTTGAGATTTCACTTTTAGTACAATTTAAACTAGAAATGAAAACCCAAACTTGATAATAATTATGGGACGGAGGGAGAATACAATATACATGCATCATGCATGGCATTCTAACTGAACAATAATCGCTCCATTCATTTTAACAACAAAAGAAAGGCCATATTACAATATCAATGAAACGCAAGAGTGGAGCTTGCTAGTAGAAAGTAATTTACCTGGTCTTCGCCAAACCCTCGAACCATCTCCTCTCTGAGCATATCACAATGTACGCCGTCGACTAGTTTCTATATAGTTTAGTAGTAAAGAGTCGAAATAAGAACCAGTCCCATATTCGAAAGAGAAACTCAAAAAATATTAAACTTCAACAAATATATACTTTAAAAAGAGTAAAATGCATTGTTTATAGTATTTGTCAAAGCAGATTTTCCCAAAAAAAAAAAAAAATGCATGGTAACAAATATATATACTTTTAAAAAGAGTAGAATGCACTGTGTATCCTTTATCCTATATACTTGGAAAAGGAGATATTCTAAGGGGAAAAAAAAAAAATCATTGCTGCTATTTTTGGGGGACATATATGGAAAAGGATAAGACGATCAATTTCAAAATCTTTATGACGTGAAATATTATTTATTTTTTAAATGATTTATTTTTTTCACAAATATAAAAGACAAGCAACTCCTTTTAAAAAACGTAAAAAGAACGGGGGCACATGTTGTGTACAAACATATATATGAACCTCGGATTTCATTGTTTTACCCGGTTTAACTCTATGTTGAGGATTTTTTCATCTTTAATGTCTTTCCAGTTCTGTCTTGCAAGGTTCACAAATTCTGCTGGAGCACTTCCGTTTTGCTGAACCAACTGGAAAATCCGATCTCTCAACCAGACCACCTGCTCAAGTAATATAGAATGAAATTATCACCAAGGTTTGGATAGTCAAACATTAAACAGAGCGGTAAAATATCTTTTCTTTTCTTTTTTTTCCCTTTTAAAAGGAAAAGCGAATATATGGGGAATATTACTGTTTCACGGTAATGCTAGTGTAGCATCCATACCTCCATTTCAAACTGGTCCCTCATGTACTCATAATGGTGCAATGCGTCCACTTCAATCTAAACAATTTTAATTGATTGATCACCGACGGATAGTAAAACAATGTTGTTATAAAAAATAAAAATAATAAAATACAATTATTTTTTTTAAAAAAAACATACGCACGCGCGCTTTGTGTTTAACAGATATTCCTACAGGGACTTTCTTTCTTTAGAAGTTATTAAAGAATTATGAGTAACAGAAAAGGAATATACTATACTCCAAGATAAATCTGTATAGTATTCAGAATTCACCCAAGTGAAGGCCGAATGTGATTCGAGTAGGGTTGTATTCGAGTTGAGTCGAGCCCGACTAATAATATACTTGAACTTGAACTCAGTCCCAAGTATCCCTATTCGAACTAGAGCTCGAACTCGGCATGCTTAAAATATAACTACTCGATTTCGACTCGGTTGAATTCGAGCCGAGTTCAAGTGAAGCTCAAGTATTTTTAAAAAATAAATATTAATGTTTAATTAATTTTTTAAAAATAAATTAATTATCAACAATTACAATATAATTATCTAAAATTGTATTATTATATCAATATGTAATTCAATTAATAATTAATTATCTTATGCATAATAAATAATTACAAATATATTAAAAATATTAGTAAAGTAATCAAGCTCGACGAGTAGAATCTTAGGCTTGAGCTCGACTCGATTACGTAATGAAACTACTGGAACAGAACTCTCGAGTTGTTGTCTGAGCTACTGTCGAGTATTCGAACTCGGCTCAGTTCATTTTACAGCCCTAGATTCGAGCATATATCGATATGTGTCTACGACATTCTGATATCCCTACCTTTATGTTTATGTTTGAAACAATCATTCATGCATGAAAAGACATAGTCGGAGAATTGGTAATGAAATGTGATGAAGACGGAAAAGAAAAAGAACCAGAAGAAAACAAAAGTGGAAATTAATTAATTATCTTACAGTTAGATAATCCTCCAGCACTGGCCTAGTTGCTCCTTGGGAAGTGAATATTCCATTCCAGATCTGGAAGAATACACCAAATGTCATTTGATCGATCTGGATAGAGTTAATAGTATTCAAATAATAATGATTAGACTACTACATCTACGTATAAAATACTATTTCTGTTCCATAATTATTATTAGTTTAAATTTTCATTTTTAGTTCAAATTGTACTAAAAATGAAATTTCAATCTGGACAATAATTTTGGGACAGAGAAAATACGAATCTATGAGTTTTTCTTTAACCTCGTGAAGATTCACTATCGCCCGCTCTTTCAGTTTGTCCATGGGAGACTGATTTTGAGAAATAACAACACATTAATATATTGAAATAATCGATAAATGGTTGTTACAAAAATGAAGTAAATAAAAAATAATCGATGGATGCGTGCGTTGAGTGTAGATCAGAGTAGTATGTGATGATTTCTACCTTGGGTGGTCTGTCACGAATAACAATCAATAGATGCACTCGTCTTGCGGTGCTAAAGTTCCGCACCATTACCTGCACAACATGATTTAATTATTAAAATAATATGTTCCGCACCAACAGATTATATGAAATTTCAAATTTTATAATATTTTTAATACAAATTTAAAAAATTAATATAGAGTATTTTTAAGAAAGAGATATTACTATTTTAGAAATTTATTGAAAGATGAAATTTTACCTGAAACATTGTTTCCAAGAGCGGTCGACTCCCACCATTGTTGAGATTAAGATTGTCATACTTCCTATTAAATTACAAAATATTCCTCAAAATATGTTATTAAAAACTTGACACAAATAGGAAATTTTATCAGGAGGTTGAGAGTTCGATTCTCGTTGGAGCCATTCAAAATTTTTTTTAAAGGAAATAATAATTGCAATAATAATTAGGAAAATTAATGGTTCCATCCTAAACTATTTAGAAATTGTAAAATTGTGTCACGCCCCTGGATTATTTAGGGATTATATTTTCTGAAATAGAAAGTAGGAGGACCAAACTAGTATTTGAGAAAATATGCTAGACTATAAATACTTTTCTGGGTCTGTAAATTAATTATCGAATATTTTTCTATTAATTTGGATAATCCCAATTTTCTCTCCTATTCCCGATTTTCCCCAACTCAAACCCTAATTTTCCCCCGATCACCATCTGTTTCTCTTTTTTCTGCCGTCCGGCCACCCTTCCGGCCACCGGGTCGTAACATTTGGTATCAGAGTGGTCTTTCCTCGGCCGTCTCTATATCGATTTACCGATTCTGTTCATCTCTTCTTCCCCTTCTTCTCTTGAATCCTCTGAAATCTGAAATCTCTTTCTCTCCTTCCCCATTCTGAAATCTGTGCGATTTCTCTATTCTCCGACTCGCACCAAACATACCTTTACTCTCGTTTCCTTTTTCATCGATTGAAATGACCAATTCCGGCGAACACCGACTTAAGGTCAGAACCTTTCTGTCGCTTCCCCCATCCGAAGCCGTACCTCTAAATCCGTCTCTTCATGGTGTCCCAGAGCCGTCGCCAACCGGAGTTTTCCTCTTTTCCGGTGAAGACATTGGTGATTGGCTTGACCGAATAGAGCACTTCTTTGTCTATAATCGCATTCCGTCACATAAGAAATTAGTCACTCTTGCTTTTTACATGACTGGAGAGCCTCTCTAATTTTTATACGGTATTACGGTATGGAGTACGCATCGCTGTTAGATAACTGGGAAGAATTCGCTGTTCAGCTAGAACTTCACTTTGGCAAAGTCATCCGACCGGCAGTGGTGGTTAATGCGTGGGAAGCCGGCGATTCAGAGTCAGACCAAGGAGGAGCGCTGGTCACTGCTGTTGAAGAAATTGATGAATTTGTAGCGGTGGAATCTGAGACGCAAGCAATTGAGGTTGTTTCGCCTGATGACAACTTCTCCAAGAACTCTGATGAAAGTGGTAACCTCTCTCTGTCGATAAAGTTTGATTCTGTTTTAGTCAATTCTGATGGGGATGATACTGAAAATCAGGTTGAAACTTAGTTGGTAAATTTCAATGTGGGTTGTTCAGAATCAGTCGATGATTCCACAGTTTTAGAAAAGGTTTATCAGGAACCGGTTAGTAAGATGTTTTTAACCAGTACTGTTGTGGTTAAATTTGATTCATATCGAGATGATGAAATGTTTTTAGATGATTCTGTTGATTTAAATGAGATCAATGGTGATTCTGCTGAATTAGCTGATGTTTTAAATCATTTTCAGGATAAGGGATTCCGTCGTAACGCTTTTCATGTTGAATCGGGGGGAAATCGAATGCACTATTGAGGTTGATAGTGCTGAAGATTTTGTACTCTGTTGATCAGTATGATTCTGCTTCGTTAAATGATGGTTGCAAAATTATGGATTTGTCATTTGTGAAAATCATGTGGTTTATCAGTTTACTGTTGGAAAGTTTGGGTTATTGTTACATGGTTTTAAAGGAGGAAATACAAATTTAAGGGTAAGATCAGGCTTTGGAAATCATATGGTTGCTATTCCTGTTGAAACCTCGTTATTGAACTTGACTGCGCTTCTAGAGTCTCTAATTGTATTGTAAGGTTTGAGACGTCGCAAGAATATGGAACTTTGCCTGAGCTCATTTCATGTTGATCCGGGGGGACTAGAATGTTCTATTGGGGTTGTTGTTTTGCCTGACTATCCTAGTGATGCTTGTATGATATTTGATGGGAGTATGGAATTAGATGATTGCTCTATGTTTATGCTGAAAGTTTATTGCGAAATGATACTCGTGTTAATTCCAAGTGTGATGCTGTTGGGGTGAATCTAGAGTGCAAATATGACTGTAGTATTATTGCCGGCTATTTGTTGTCAAGAGGTGTGCTTAATTCTTTCGAAGACGGTTTTGATTTTTTATATTCTATTTCTACTGGAATTCTTCCAAACACTTTTGTTACTGATCCCAGAGACCAATTCGTGCAATCCAAAAGTTCCTGTAAAATAATTTCAAAAGAACAGATGCAGGTTAGAATGCACCCTGTCGGTAGGGATGTATATTTTTTTGGAATGCATCCTTTCAGAATTGAGATTTATGATTGTTGGTTCGGTCATATTGCATGTATTCATGGAAAGATTATGCACAAATCTTGGCCTGAAAGTGTTTCGAGTTTCAATGGATGTACCATTGTTATACTTGTGAGGTTGCATGTGGTTGCATGTGGAAATGAAGGGTTTAATTTGAATGGTATTCTCTGTGTGGTTGCATGTGGAAATGAAGGGTTTAATTTGACTAAAATGCCTGAACCTGTTAAAATTGTTAAGACTATAGATTTAGGTCATTTCTGCAGTAAAGAAGTTCTTGGGTATTTGTGCAAAATGGAGCGAGTGATTTTCTTAGAGAAATTTTCTTCGGGTGGTCTGTTTGCTATTTCTGGTGGTTGGGTTGCTGGTGCATGTAGTGAAATTATTGTTGAAGCTATGATTTTAATTACTGAAGTAAACTTTTGTTGGTTGATTGCCTGGCACGTTCTGGGAGTATTATCGTGTTTTCATAAGTGGATTGAATGTTCTCACGAGCTGAGGATGGCTTTTACAATAATTGAAAACAATTTCAAGAATTGCAGAGATTCGGTTTTCCAGTTGTGTTTTATCCTTAGGAACAAAGATATTTCTAGCGTGGAGAAAATTACCAAACTAAAATTGGAGGTGATAGTTAGTGAGTCTATGGAACTGAGAAGTAAACAAATGAGCAAGGTCTGTAGAAGTTGGCCTGAGTTAATCACTAGCTTCAAGGGTGGCACAGTCTCTGATTGTGATCTGAAATTGAAAACTCATGAAGTTCCTTTTGAATGTCGCTTGTTTGGGAATTCTTTTTGTGCACTGAGATCTTATGGTTCCATATTGAGTACTGTAATGCTATGTGTTGAGTTCACCAGTATTGAAAATGATGTTAACGGAAGTAGTGATTATTGGGTGTTTGTTTTTGTTGGGAATTCTAGATACGTGAGAATTGGTGTGCTTTTGCCTATAACCAATGATCAAAAGAAGTGTATTTTTAACACTATGGGTGGCTGTGACACCAGAGTTCAAATGCCTCATATATATGGAATTATCCATGGTGTTGTTTGGGATCCGAGAATAATGGTTGGAGATGTGGAGTGTGCTGGAATAGCATATAAGGGCACCAACAAGGAACACAAGTCTAAGTTGGTGATGATTAGTGCCAGTGAACGCAAAGTGAATTCAGAAGTACTGTGCAGAGTAGAAAAACCTCCTAAGGCTGATGTATCTAAAATGGAATGGAGCGCTAAGCTGCTAATTGCTAAAGCACCGAATGGATATGTCCTTTTGATTAAGGGAAAGGGTTGGAAGTTGGTTAATGTGGTATCTTTCAGCAGAACTGAAACAAATTATAATATTTACAACTTCATGAATTTCGTTGCTGAACAGGTGTTAAGGCTTACTGCTGATCAGAACTCAACTTGGATAATAGCTTGGCAAATGGCTTGCAAGGAAATTCAAAAGTTAGCATTGCTGAGAATCGTTGCAAGGAACTATTCGCGGAATGACTTTGTCCTTCTGCAGCTTCGTTATGTCCAGTCTTTTCATTTTTAGTTTTACAGTAGTATTTGATGTTAGTTCTGTTGTCAATTACCATAGTTACTTGACGTTGTATTTGGCAGTTTGTTTTTGTTTGAAACACAGTCTTGGGGACAAGACTGTTTTAAGGGAAGGGGTTTGTTACGCCCCTGGATTATTTAGGGATTAGATTTTATGAAATAGAAAGTAGGAGGACCAAACTAGTATTTTAGAAAATAGACTAGACTATAAATACTTTTCTGGGTCTGTAAATTAATTATCGAATATTTTTGTATTAAATTGGATAATCCCAATTTTCTCTCCTCTTTCCGATTTCCCCCAACTCAAACCCTAATTTTCCCCCGATCACCATCTGTTTCTCCTTTTTCTGCTGCCCGGCCACCCTTCCCGCCACCGGATCATGACAAATTGCATCTTAAACTTTTGTGTTTTTGCCCAAACGTTGAGTATTTAAATTGGAGGATTGGACTTATGTAAGTCTCTCATATTTTTTGCACTTAACCTCAATTGTTGGATCAACCAAAGAATCTCAAATTTTTATATTATTTTTTTACACCTAATGAAAGGTCCACTAGCACAAAGTATAATAAGCTATCAATAGAACCATCCATTCAACATAGCATGACTATCCATAATTTATCAACACAATTTATAAGACCATCAATTTTTCATATATAGACTATAAAATAAAAATTTATAAAAATAATATGTCAAAATTTATAAAAGGCCCGAAAGATTCATGGGGCCACGAACAGATGTTAAAGTTTGAAGGGGAGATCCATCATTTAATTACTGAGTCCTCTCCCATAGTATAAATTTACCCAGACGTTGAATGGACCTATTCATTAAGTTTTGAATACATTTTCTTTACATATGTTGTTATTTGTCGCCCATAAATCTTAGGTATCGCTCCATTTAGGCAAATTTAACCCTGTCATAATTTAAAATCTACAAACCCTTTTCTTTCACTTCTCCAAATCCTCCCAAACTTCAAACAAAAAATCATTTCTTGATTGTATCATAAAATATATCATAAATTAATTACTACTAAAACAAGTCGTATCACTAACTAAATAAAAACCAGCAAAAAAGGGAAATGCGTGCATCCTAGACACCCCAACACAGTCTGAATATCTAGATCAGACAACCATTCTGGCTATGGTGCAAGTGTTACTAATTGCTAAGCAACACATACATTGCGCAGTGAAAGAATCAAATAGTAGCAGACAATACTTCTTGACTCTAGTCTTTGTTGATTACCGACTTGAGGGAAGAGTTTATCTATGGGACGAGCTTGCAGATATCTCTAAACTTATGAGTGGAGAATGGCTGATAATGGGTGATTTCAATTGTATTTTGGAGGCCAGTGAGAAGTTTGGAGGAGAAAATGAAGTCAATAGTAACAGTGATGAGTTCAGACAGATAGTGAAATATGTGACTTGTGGGATATGAAAAGTCAAGGTGGGATTTTCATTTGGAGCAATAAGCAAATGGGAGCATATAGAATTTATTCCAAGTTAGATAGAGCCCTTGTTAACGTAACATGGTTGATGCAGTATCAAGAAGCTTAGACTACTGTTTTACCAAAAGGCATTTCAGACCACAATGCACTTCTAATAAGGTAGAGAGATGGCAAACAATGATAGAAGAAATCACTTAGATTCACGGTGCCAAGATCCTGGTTTTCAAAAGGTAGTGCAGAACTTGCAAAATGAGGAAGTTGGAGCAAAGCAGTATAAGTTCATGAAGAAACAAAAGATGCTAAAACCAAGACTGAAAGAACCTAACCGGAAAAAATATGCTTGTATAGAGGAGAAAGCACAGGAAAGGAAGTGGAAGTTAAAAAGCATCCAACAACAGCTTAGAGATGATCCTCTAAATGAAGAATTGCAGACAGCAGAAAAAGAGGTAACTCTAAAGTATATAAATGCTAGTAAGGTTGTTGTAAGCTTTTGGAAAGTTTAAAAAAAAAAAAAAAAAAAAAAACTGGATTCATGAAGGTGATCTAAATACCAAGTATTTCCATGCATGTATTATAAAGAAAAGTAACAGGAACAAAATTAGATCATATATCAATAAAGATGGTGAATTAATAGAAGATAGTCAACAGGTTGAGAAACACTTTCTAGAATACTACAAGAATCTCTTTCGAAGTAGTGTTAAAAGACTTCCTGCTAACAGTAAAATCCTTTAATCAAAGATTAAACTGACTGTATACATACACATTCTCCTGATTGACAATTTCACCATACTAGATATAAAGGAGACTACGTTTAGTATTTGATGGTAATAGGAGTTCTGGACCTGATAGCTTTAAAAGTGGGTTCTATAAGAATACTTGGAACATTTTTGGAGATGAAGTAAGCGAAACTGTTTTAGAGTTTTTTAACTCAGGAAAACTTATGAAGCAAACTAATAATACTTAGGTTTCTTTAATACCAAAAAATGAGACTCCTAGAAATGTCACTGAATTCAGACCAATCTGATTTTGCAATACAATCTACAGATTTATCTCAAAAATGTTATGCAAGAGACTAAGTAAAGTTATTAGCAAATCAGGTGCTTGACTTCCAAACAATTATCATATGCTGGAAGGACTCTCCTGATGAACTCAGTCTTGTTGAGTTTGCCCTCTTATTGGGGCAGTATATTTGTTATTCTGCAAAGTATCATACACCAAATTACCTGTAAATGCAGAGAGTTATTATGGGGAAAAAAGAAACTGGCAAAGTTTGGTCTTTCGTGGCTTGGAATGACATTTGAAAGAAGAAGAATGAGGGAGGGTTAAATGTCAAGAAACCAGAGATGTGGAATAAAGCTCTATTTTCTAAACAAATATGGGATTTAGAAATGAATAAAGAAAGTCTCTAGATTAAATGGATGCATATCTATTATATAAAAGGTAAAAGTATATGGGATTACAAGGCTTCCAACGATTATAGTTGGCACTGAAAAAAGTTGATCAAGATCAAAGAGAAGATAAAAAGAGGGGGTGCGGTCAAAATAGAGACTGGTCTCGAACTGGTGGCAAACCTTATTCCACTCAGAGTGGATATACTGGCTGAGGGAGTAAGGGAAGAACCAGAGAAGCTAACATCATGTGGAGTTAGTATGGCCTTCCCAAGCACAGCTTTATCAGCTGATTGGCTAGGAAAGACAAGCTTCTTACCACTGAAAGGTCCAACAGAATGAATGTGCAGATTCCTAATATGTTATGTATTCTGTGTAAAGAAAAAGTAGAGACTGGAAAGCACTTGTTCTTTCAGTGTAAATAAACAAAAGAGGTGATGGAAGGGATAAGGAACTGGCAGAGGATGCTAACTGAGATCACTACTCTCAGTCATACAAGGATTTTGAGAACATGGAAGCTCAGAAAGATGAGACAACAGGTTTTTTTACTTGCTTGAATGCATCTGTTCACCGTGTGTGGTCTGAGTCTGATAGTAATGCAAAAAAGGTTTGGTGATTCAACATTTACAACAAATACGATAGTTGATTTGAGTCAGCAAGAAGTGAAGTGGAAGTTAGAGTTTAATTATCGTAAAGGTAATAATGATATACGGTTTTTGAACAAGTTAGGTGTTAAGTTTAGCTTCATACTTAAATATAATAGGAGATAGATATTGTAAATATGGCTTGTGAAGGAAGTTTAATATACAAATTAATAATAATAATAATACCAATACTAATAATAATAATAATTATAATAATAATAATAATAATAATAATAATAATAATAATTGAACACATTTAACAATGCTTTGACATGTTTTATTCAAAAAAATTAATGTGGGTCTCACCTTGTTTTCTCCATCAAGTTTCCTTTTAATTGGAATTATTCTCATTTTAAAGAGTATCATTTTTTTACCGAAAAATAAAAGAAAATCTTCTTTTCATTTGAAATAGAACAAAATTATAATGGAAACACAATCAAGAAACTAAATTCACAAAAATTCATAATTGAAAATTTGAAAAGCAAAAAAATGATATTCCCTTTGTCCCAAAATTACTGTGCAGTTTAAGATTTGACTTTTAGTATAATTTAAATTAAAATGAAAATCTAAACTGGAAAATAATTTTGGGACGAAGAGAATATTTTAAAAACATTGACATAGCCGCCAAAATTGCAAAAATTAATGTGAACACGATATAAACTTTTTGGACTCAAAAATTGTCAAAACCGATGAAACTCTTAGGTTCGATTCTATTTGTGTGTTTGAGGTAGATTATGAGATATATTTTGAATATAAAAAATATTTTGTTAATCATCACCGGGTAACCTCCAGCCATCATTCAGAATACAGATGAGGTGGCACTGCCAAACCACTATTGCTCGGTGGCTGTCCAAGCTGAAAGTGATCAAAATAAACACTAATATGTGGACCAAAAGTATGTAAATCATGGTCTAAAGAGAGCCCTAATGTTAAAATCCATCAATAATTTAACAAATTTGACTGATTTGAGTGTAATACGCCAATTTTGGAATGGAAACACCTATTATTTATAGTTTGGGATGAAATTTTCCTAGTTTTACATAATTTGGACGTCTTGAAGGCCCAAATATAAGTCTATATGTAGTTCCACCTCATAACCAATTGATTATGAGGGTGTAGTACATGGGATATATATGTTGATTTCAAGAGTTTCCATCCTTCCATGTGTGACAAAAGAACATGAACCATTTCATTTCTTTCATTCATTCAACACGCCCCTCTCAAACTCAATGGGCTTGGATGGATAATTTTATACATTTTTTTTTAAAAAAAATTTTAGTCTTGCGATCAATTATTTTCCTGGATACATTGTCGCCTGCCGGGTCAGTTAAAGTTCAAAGTCAAATCCTGAATTTTTTCTAATTGGTCAAAGTTTCAAAGTCAAAGGCCGAATACGGGCAAGTCAAAGATCCAATTTTAATTAGTCAAACTCGCCCCACATGTCTTACATGTTCGCGGATAAAACCCATTCTGATGCCATCTTGAAACCTCAAATATAAATCTACATGTAGTTCCACCTCAAAACCAATTGACTATGAGGGAAGTAACACATGGGGTATTATATATTGGTTTCAAGAGTCTTCATCTTTTCATGTACGACAAGGAACATGAGGCATTTCATTCCATTCGTTCATTCAACAGGACCAACATCAATTTTCTCTATGAGTTCCAAAAATCTATTCCTAGCTCAAGCATAGGTTGTGGATAGTAACCAATCAGTAAGGAATAACAAATGTTTGATTAATGTGATTAAATACCAATATATGCATAACACACCTTAGCTTCTGTGTGCATGAAACATTGACATTGCCATGGAGAAAGTAAACATACTCAATTGCAACTACCAATAAGTTGTGGTTTTGGATTGAATCAACTCACATGTTGAGCAGCATCACATTAGACATAGCCAATGCAAAAAATGTGGTTTGTCTTTCAAATGCGCCATTACCCTGCCCAAAAGAAACTAAAGTATATCAGAAAACAAGCACATAAAATATTACTCCCTTCGTCCCAAAATTATTATCCAGTTTGGACTTTCACTTTTAGTACAAATTAAACTAAAAATGAAAATTCAAACTGGACAATAATAATGGGAAGGAAGGAGTATTATAGTACTACTCATTTTTCAGTTCTTTTCTTTCAAACATTAATACTATTCGGTAATACTACTAATTTATATTTAGTACTAATATTTGTTGGAACAACACGGTCGCATGCAGATGCAGGAGAATAAGAATTGAGCAAGGGTAGAAGTTTGTGTTGCTGATTAGATTCCGAATCACGTTTCCTCTCTCTATCTTTGCGTCTAGTTCGTCGAGTGCACCAGAATGAAGGAGTGGACATACCGACTAACATACGTACGCAAGGCCTCGCTTTGTTTTCTCTCTTTTGTTTTTTTTTTCTTTTCCTTTTCCATATTTGCAGTGACAACTGTAACTAATTACTCGTTGAATTATAAGCATCTTCATGAGTAAGAAAACTAGTCAAAAATTTAAGATTGTTTTATCTTTATTGCAAGATTCGGGGGAGTTTGTTTTGTTGTTGAATGGATTAAATTAGCCAAAAAAAAGTTAGTGAGTAGCGTGTCATACTGTTATTTCATTGATTTAAAACCTCTTTAATTAGTTTTTGGTTTGTTTTGTGTTAGTTTTGATGGCTAACATTGCAGGGCAACTATTTGGAGTTAATTGGGAAAAGAAGGAAGACAAATAAAGTTAAAGCATTAAGAAAAATTTTCCTAAAGGGAAATAGTGTACTTTGTAAAAACTATACTTTCTTTTAAAATAGTTGAGATTGTAATTTAAAAACTATACTTTCTTTTAATATATTCACAATTTACAATACCACTAGTTTTGGGTAGAGAGAGTACAATAAAATGCATGGACAACTAAAATAAGACACAAATAACATATAAATAAAATAGAGAATCACCTCTTGGCCTCTCTCCCTCCCGTCAGTCCCTTCTGTATCAAGCACAAGGATATTCCGGTGGCCTTCCGGAGATGAGCACTTTTGTATCCAAATTCCTCTCGTTGTTTGCTGACTGCAAGAAAAGATCCCACATATATGAATATATATGATTGCTATCTTTTTGTTTTAAAGAAGAAAAAAAATAAAGTAAATGAGTTAAAATCGTCTATGCATATGAAGAAAAGTATTGCAGCGGAAATTTAAGAGAGTCATACGGTCCCTGGCTACCATCCATCTCTTGGAATTTTGTAGAAAAGCATCTGTTCATAAGTGTGCTCTTTCCTGCAACCAGTTAAAAGGGTAAACTGACACTGGGCGTCTTTAATTGTACCTATTGATAATTACTCTTAGTGACAAATCATTTATAAACAATTAATTGTTGTCAGCGAGAAATCAAATTACACCTAAACCACAATCCAAGAAGTTTGTGTTACACTAATAAATCTTGTTTGGTAAGCATGTTTTGATCCATCAAGCTGAAGTCTTATCTGAAATTAATTACTTTACCTGAACTTTGGACACCAATAACGGAAACGGCACCGATGCGATCATTCTCGAAGGCCAAATTCAGATGCCTATCAATATCATTGTTGAAGGTCCCATCTCCACTTATCAGCACGGCGGGAGCGTAACCCTGTGCCGCTGCAGAAAATATATAAATAAGTAAATTCATTGTTGGTAAGTTTTTGTTTTATTAAGAAGCAAGAATTTTAGCAACATTAATTCATGACTTCATTATCATTTTTCATCCTTCAGAAATAACATTTCCCTATTCCTCTCCCTAAAAACGTTCTCAAATACTCACTTTCATGATGAGAAAACTACTTAGGAAAAAGAAAAATACTAACCCATTACAAGGAGAAGCTTTATGGTCAGAGTGAGGAAGATGGAATTGAGATACCAAAGAACAAGTTTGCGAAGAATCCGATCATATAATTATAATCCAACTCCGGGAGATGCAGATCAATTTTGGAGATAGCAATTTGACTATCTCTGTGTATTCTATGTCGAATATTCGGATTGATTAATAGAAATGAACCAACCAAACATAGGGGCATTTAACGTAGTTGTCCTCCATTTTGCTGGTTTTAACCCTGTCAAATTGCATATTGCTATGTCAAGTTCATTTTTATAATATGTTTATTTCTAAAAGACTTTGACAATTCATCGTTGTCCCAATATTTTCCTAAAATAAAATAAATAAACGATCCCTTTCATAAATTTTTGTAGGAACTGATCCGCTAATGATTGATACCACCACCTAAGTTAACTATGGATGACACAATATAATCTACAAATGATACCGCAGTTGTAACTGTGGATATATATATGTATATATATATATATATATATATATATATATATATATATCTACTAGATTTCAAGCGATAATCACGAATCTATATGCTCTTTTTTAAGATTCCAGAGTTTTTTTATTTATGCTTTAAGCTTGCATAATTTTTTGTCGTCAAATTGTCACGCATATTGGAGCGGTTAATTGGATTTCTATTCCTTCAAGGATATTTATACTCCAGTTTATATTATTTAGGCAATACAAACATGAAATTATAGACCCGGCATTGCCTCTTTCTTCCTTTAAGGGACAAAGAAGAAAAGGAGGATGAAAGACTTGCAGCATTAAAAAAGGACCAAGACAAAATCAAAGCATTTTAAAAAAGACTTTTAACAATTGATTTATGTCCACATCTCAGTTTCAACATTTTATTCGTTGACATTGGATCACATTAATTTTTTAAGATTTCGGTCCAACCTGCTACAGATGATATGACCCTAGCATAATCCGTAACCGATACCAATCGAAAATCCGTTAATTCTGCAAATACCAAAAAACACAAGTTTATTCATAATCGTTTAGTCTGAGAATACCCGAATCTTAAGGCATCGAAATCCAATTGATTATAATTGAAATGAACTTTGGTTTTTTAGAAAGACTCAATTTCTATATCATTTAACAACTAAATTACAAATAAGGGAAAATGACAAAAAACCCACATGAGTAATGTCCAAAGGACAAATTGGCCCCAACATTTCTTATAAGGACAATAACTCCTTGACCTCCAGCTTAAAGGAAAATTTGCCCCCAGCATTAGCCAATCTTAGTGTGAAAAGATAAACATATCCTTAAATCTGAAAAGAATTTATTTTACACCACACCAATCCTCCAACCAACTCATTTATTTTTTAAAAATTGTAAATTCTATTATCCACCATTTTAAATCCATCGCTGACTCGGTTTTGATACATTATTTCTTCCTATCACTACCGCCTCAATAAAAATAAACCCAAAATTGAGGATTTAATCTATCAAAATCATAGATTCTATTTACTGACGCCTCAATAAAAATAAACCCGGGATTGAGAATTTAATCTATCAAAACAAGATAGGGAGAAATAATGCATCAAAATAGAGTTAGCGGCAGATTTAATCAAAGCCAAATTGTTTAAGGATTTTTTAAAAAATAAAATAAACAAATTGATTGGAGGGTATGTTTAGCCTTGAAAAAGGTTATTTTTAGATTTAAGGTTATTTTTTTCTTTTTGCACTAAGATTTGCTGATGCAGAGGACAAACTGTCCTTTAACTTGGCGGTCGGGAGGCTTATTGTCTTTATACGAAATGTCGGGGGCAATTTGTCTTTTGGACATAACTCAGGGGAGTTTTGTCCTTTTCCCTACAAATAATGGGTGGCTAAGTTATAAACAATGAAAAAACAACAAAATAACCTAATCAACCTAATGTAAAATGACCAAAATACCCATAATTAAAACCCTAATCTACTCTTGATGGTGCGGTCCTTGGTTGATCCATGGGACAGTGCCTAAATTACGTACCTAAAAGCCCTGCAAAATAGGGTTAGCACTCCGGTGCTTAATTCTGAACTCTTAGAGAGAGAGAGAGAGAGAGAGAGAGAGAGAGAGAGAGAGAGAGAGAGAGAGAGAGAGAGAGAGAGAGAGAGAGAGAGAGAGAGAGAGAGAGAGAGAGAGAGTATTAAAGTGTTAAAACTAGATAGAGAAAAAACCTCTTTGAAATGTTTTGGGATGTCTCCTTTTATAAACTTAAAAAAAGGGGAATATAGAATATTCCCTTAGCACATAGGTGCACATGGCTATGGATGGGCCTTTTGCGGCCCTAAGATTATTGTTACTGAAGTCCAACAAGGTAATGGGCCTCTATTGCCCCATCAATTGCTCCTGCTAGAGGCTAAAGCCTGAGCGTCTGTCTAGATTTGAGCTCTAGTAATTGAGCCTCTGCGATTTTGGGCCTCTGTGGATGCGGCCTGCTTCGCTAAAACTCCAGGGTGGGCGGAGGGTTACCATATCATCGGATGGATGGGATGAGTTCCCGCCCAATTGTCGTGAACGGTCGCGATGGGCCTCGAACGACGGTTTGAATTCACGTACCCCTCTTAATGAGGCACGTCTTTTTGGAACCTGCCCCCTTATCTCCCCTCTCTTCCCCCCCCCCCCCCCAAAAGGGAATCAGGGTAGGATTTGGGGATCCATTTTGCGTGAACTTCTTTCCCCTTGTTGCCAATAGTTTACTTCGGCAATTCTTGGAGCCTTTGTCTTAGGTGAGTAGAGTTTCTAATTTCTTCTTTCCCCGCCTTTTTATTTTCGTGGTGTTTGTCCTGTTGCCTCTTTGGCCATGGCTCCCCATGCAAAAAGATTAATTCAGGTCACCGCCATCACCTTCGCATTGACCGAGGAAGTTTTGAAGGTCGTCAGGAAGAAATATGGTTTGAAGGGGATGAGGGCAGCTGTGCCCGGTCGCCATCTCATGCCACCCAGAAAAATGACGGTTTACCTCCGATTCTTTGAGGTAGGGCTAAAATTGCCCCTTCTTCCCTTTGTGACGGCCTTGATGCAGGCCTATGAGATGCCTTCTACGCAATGGTCGCCTAACGCGATCCCCTTCATTCTGGGTTTTTTGCATATCTATCATACGGTGGGGGTGAAAGCATATGTGTTTTTATTCCGTTTCTTTTTCAAGATGGCGCGATCGCGCCAGAACTATATAGGGTGGTTTAGCTTTCAGCATAACCTTATGACGGGGTCGTACACGCTGATGTCAGTGGAGATGCTTGGGAGCATGAAAGGAGAGAAGTGGAGGGAGTACTTTTTCTTTGTCAATTCTAGGACCGTTGTAGTCCCGTAGTGGTATGATGACTCTAATTCCAGCCTGACCATTTATGCATGGACTAACAATGATAGGCAAGCTTTTTGACGCTCACCAGGAGGAGATCAAAAAGATTACTAGCTTCAACCAGGTCCTGCCATGCACGGATGTGCAGGCAAACCACAACTTTATCTATGACAATGCTGCAGGTATTCCTCAAATTAATACTGACTCCTGGCCTCTTGGTTTTTCTCATTTGTAGGTTAGAGCTTCTTATAATGTTAAGAAGAATCTGTATCCCAAATCTGCAGTGGGAACCCAGAGAACACTGGAGATACCGCGGCCTTGGAGAAGAGGAAGAAAAGAGCTGATAGAAGCCAGACTGGGCCGGCACCAAGCCAGTCACAGGCAGGCGGCAGCAAAAGGAATAATTTGTGAGTGCGGGCTCACAGACAGTGGTGGACACCCCTCCTATTGTGCCGGAAACTGTGGTCGCTGCTGCCGGGGCACAAACTACTGTGTCATTAGTTGTAGCTGGTGTCGCTGGGTTGCAGTTAAGTGTTGCTAGTGCGACTGGATCGCATGGGGAGGGCCGAAATGCTGCCATAGTGGAACTTGACCCACCTAATGTGGTGTACCCATAGTTGGGGCTGATCCTTGTGCCTGTTGAACCAAGGGATACCATGTTTCAGGTACTCAGTCCCCTTCGTTTTTGGTGTGTTTCTGGAGTAGGCGACGCAACTGTTGTCTCTAAGTCTCCCTGTTTGCTTTGCAGTGCATATCTGGATTGACTCGCTGGGCAATGTGTTAGGCCGAGCTGAATGCTGAGAGAACGGCACTCCGTGTTGAGGTGGTGGCACTGAACAAGGAGTTGGCAGAAAAGGACAGTGCTCAGTCCAACACCATTGCGGCCCTTCAGGGTGAGGTTACTCAGTTGAAGACTAGCTTGGATGCTGCGAACGTGAGTCAAGATGAGCTAGCCAAAGCCTCTGTTCCCAGGGTGATGTTGGGGGATCTCATTTCTGCTGGGGTAAGGAAGGTACTGGGATCACACAAGTTCGTTGCTAGTTTGGGCAATGTTTTTGGAGCTGCTGGTCGCGTTGGAGCCCATGATATTCTGAAGCAGATTCGCCAGCACTATAACTCGGATGGTGAGGATTCTATCTTTATCCGAGAGAGGTTGGCCCCGTTTTGGAGGACTATTCCTCCAAGAAACATCTGATGGCAAAAGTGGCCAGAGACGTGCGCGCCTATATTCACGATGTCGATGTGGATGCCCTTCCCATGATTTAAGCGAACTGGGGAATTTGCTCAACTGTGACGTTGTCGTGGGGCATTCTGGACTTGGAATGCGATCGCACTCCCTTGTTTGACATGCCCAATGGGATCCCGACTCCTCCCATGTTGCCCAGCGATGCTTGAGACGAGGAGAGCTTGTCCTCCAGCAGTGGGTCGCTTAGTGGAAAGCTTGGAGTGATGGAAAGTTAGGGTGAAGGTGCAGGCGCTACGGGCAATGATGGTGAAGACAACCCTCCCCCCCTGGGGGTGGCGCCTCGCATCCCAAGGATGGTGCTGAGGTATAGAGTAGTGCTTTTATTTTGATGTCTTGTTGGATTTTGGGTACTGGCGGTTTCTTGCTGATATAGTTGGCGCTAGTGAACGTCTTGTAATAAAGTACTTCCAAGAGTTGTAGAACTTTTTTGCTTCTTCTTTCTTTCATTTTTTTGTCACAGTTTCTCCTTTCCAGGCTTTACCTATGCGTGGTTACAGTTGGATTTGCTATAATTTGCAGTTGTGTTATGATTTTTTGCATTGCTTTCCTTGTTGGGATTTGAATGCTTCCCCCCTGATTGTGTAGGACACCACTCGCTCTGAGGGGGCATTTCCTCCGTTGGGGGAGAGAGATGGCCCATTCGTACCTGATGTGGTGCCTGTTAATTTGCCCACTTCAGT